GCAGCTACAAAAAGAGGTGTTGACTGCAGCTTAAGAAATTATATGCTCATACTCATTCTCCCCCCCTCCATTTTTATTATATGCTCATACTCATTCTCCCCCCCTCCATTTTTCTGTTTTCATTGTATTTTCCCTTCTCCCTCCCTCTCTCCTTTCCCTTTCCTTCCCTTCCATTCTGTCCCTTCCTCTCTGCCTTCCTTCCTTTTTTCCTTCCGCCTTTCCATCCTTCCTTTCTTTTCTCTCTCATTTTCATTTTTCTGAGTAGTTGCTACAGAGACAACCTCACCCTATTATCCAAATATAAATGACACAGTAATGGCTTTCTATCGGTCTGCCTGGAGGGAGAGGGGAAAAGAAAGTAATAAAACTAAAGAGGAAATATCCTTAATTTGTTTCTGAAGGATAGAAACTAACTTGCTGAGGAAAAAAGAAATATAATGGGAGCTCTGATTGGTAAAGAAACAAAGAGAGAGAGAGAGGGAGAGCGTTGGAGGGCGATTTGAAGAGTATCCCGTGCAGGTCAGATTTCAAGCAGGATCCCCCTCTGTGGGCAGCTTTAGAGCCTCTGACACTGCTTTCCTTAACCCCGTGTTCTCAGCCTGGAGCGTGGAGGGTCCGCAGCTAGACTCAGCCTTATGAGTTTGGGCCAAAGCCACGAGAATAGGAGAGGTAATTTTTTACATTCAACTTTTATGATGTCTACAACTGCAGGTGTTGCACGCCCGAGACAGAATTGACAATGAAAAGAATCACCCCGTGCCAAATCTGACTCCTCTCGGAGAGGCGGGGGGTAATGGCTGTGGTGGCATTCCCTAACATCAGTACTTGGGATTTCTGTGACTTTTCAAGGTGCTAGGGGTCTCCCCTGGTCCTTCCTGTTTAAATATGAATGGACGTCGATTGCCCTCATTGTCCCGCCCCCAGGCCTCCTGCATGTAGATGGCCAACATTTGGGAAGTTTGCTGGTCACAAGGAGATGCTGGCTTTTTCCATTCCTGGTCACAGGGCCAGTTCAGTACGCTTTCCTTGGCACTTGGTTTGGTTTTCTTCACAGCAGCAGCTGCTAATGAGGGACAGCTTTTGAGCGAGCAGCTTGTCATTTTTGGCAGGGGTAGGGGACATCCATAACCATTCAAGACTCTGTTTTCCTTTGCTAAATTTACTTTACTACATGGAAGTACGTCTGCAGTAAAAAATAGTCTGCAGTCACTCATGCACGGCGGTATTTACTGAAATACCTTCCCGAGTTGGCATTCGACCCTGCAGTTGGAGAACTCTCAGGAGATAAGTAACAGGTTCCGCGTCCATCAGGCGAGCCACCCTCCCAGCGGGAATCTGCATTCTGGATGTAGAACTTTACCCTCCTGTTTTGGCGCAGTAATCGGTCTTTCCGGATTACACTTGGTAGTACGCCTGGTAACCGTCGGAGCGGGTTGTTGATAAACACTGAGCCTTACGTTTATGCTCAGCTGCTTTTTTGAGGCATAATTAAAAGACGCAGTTTCGTTTGCATCAAGAAGAAGCTGTCTTTGGAATTTCTGCTCGCGTTGGCATCATCCCATTTCATGTAAGTCTCCTCTTTGAAATTGCCACAACAAGGCGTTAGCGCTGCTCTACGAACTCGTCACGATATTTATGGAATGGCACAGCTTGCAATTATACTTGCCGTGATTAGCACCGACGATGAGTCAAAACCTCCGTCACATTTTCTATAAAGTGTGATTCAGTCCCATTATTCCTGTAATAAGGACTCGAGTTAATGACCTCCACAGTGGTAAAAATAACATCTTGAAGGAAATAACTGACCTACCATCCATTTCAGCTATTTCCCCCAATTTAGGTTCTTTTGTGACTCGGAGGTCTACCAACGTCGTATTTAACACGCAATCATTGAACATCTACCATGCACTGAGTATTGTGTTGAAGGAATCAAAATGGTTCCTGCCCTGGGATAAGTTACAATGTAGTTAAGCAACAGGTAACTCAGAATTGCTTTAGTTCTCATGCCAAGTGTAGCATGTTCTCACTCTAGAGAGATAAAGCAATCCATCTTTATTTTAAAAAAATATTTTTTTATTGATTTCAGAGAGGAAGGGAGAAGGAGAGAGAGAAACATCAACAAAGAGAGAGAACCATTGATTGGCTGCCTCCTGCACACCCCACACTGGGGATCCAGCCCACAACCCAGGCATGAGCCCTGACCAGGAATCAAACCATGACCTCCAGGTTCATAGGTCCACACTCAACCACTGAGCCACGCCAGCCAGGCAAGCATTCCATCTCTTTTTTTTTTTTTTATGCCCTTGACCGGAATCAAACCTGGGACCCTTGAGTCCACAGGCTGATGCTCTATCCACTGAGCCAAACCGGCTAGGGCGCATTCCATCTTTTAAAACTGGGATGATCAACCTTGGCTGGTGTGGCTCAGTTGGTTGGGTGCTGTCCCCTGCACCGAAAGGTTGCCGGTTTGATTCCCAGTCAGGGTACATGCCCAGGTTGCAGGCTCCATCCCAGTAGGGGACGTGCAGGAGGCAGCCAATCGATGTTTCACTCTCACATCGATGTTTCTCTCTCTAAAAATCAATTAAATGTAATAAGAAATTAAAACTGGGGTGATCAAAATGATAAAAGTCATAGGATATGAGTATTGGTTGATTCCTTTTTTAGCTAAAGGTGTTAAAGATTGTATGAGGCACCTTTCATCTAATATATAAAGAGCCAGTGACCATAACATCATAACGACCGGAACAACCGATCGAACAATCCCTAGGAGGTGCATTGACCACCTCTCGGTTCCTCCCCCGCAGCCTGCAGGCTAAGATCGATCACCAGGCCAACTGGGAACCACGGGGAACGGGGGTGGGTGGCAGCAGGGCGGGACTGGGGACTGGCAAGCGGGCACCTCTTGGTCCCTCCCCCCGGCCCGCAGGCTAAGATCGATCCAGGCCAACGGGGAACCGCGGGTGGGTGGAGGTGGTGGGGTGGGACTGGCAACTGGCAAGCGGGCGGAAGATGGCCCTGATTGCAGGCTAGGCCTAGGGACCCTACCTGCACACGATTTTGTGCACCGGGCCTCTAGTAGAAGTATAAACTTCCTAGTTTCCTTGTTCCAAATGTCCCCTGTTAAATTCAGAAGAGTAAATACTTCTTAGTGGCATGGCTTGGTGAACCCAGATGATCTAACATTCAGCCAATTATATAATGTACACTGCAAAAAGTAATGTGGTTACTTATATGTTTGTCATGTTAATATTCGTTATCACAGGAATTTATCATTTACACCTGGTCTGTAACTTCATCTGCATACCAGCCTTAAGTAAGTTGACGTTTAATTATTGGTATAAGGTGAACAGTTATCCAGATGACAGCTGACTTCAGTATCCTTTACTATCCTAACTTACCCGCTAAGAGATTTCACAAGCTGTTTTCTCATTTTTATAAGTGATTATTGTCGCCATAATGAGAAAACAGGAGATTAGGATGGTCCCTCCTAAATCTTGGGGGTGGATTATAACCTATCTAACAGAAAACTAATAAGGGACTTGGGAACAAATGTAACAAGTATAACCAGCCATTCTGCTTCTTATAGGAAGTGTCACAATGTTCATTCTGACCACAAGTGGTCAGGGTCTAGGTTTTGGCCTCATTGGAAAGTTACCCACCCCCAGAACTGTTCCCATTGTTCGCCTCTCACTCCCTTTAACAATCTAACACTTTTAGCTGATTTCTGATTGGTTTAGGGGAGTGAAGCTGAGCCACCAAACCCCAAACATGGCTTCTTCTGGTTGTCTGAAGGTTTGTCATCTAGATGTTCTCACCGTCCCATACAAAGCATTTTTGGAATGTCAATTTTTTTTGGTATCTGTGAGTTGTACTTTGTGTTAATTCACTTTGTAGCTTTTATCTTAAAGCAGTCTTAAACCACAGGTATCCTCGTGAGGAAAATCTCATGTGGATGGTAAGAGGTTTTAGTAAGTACGGGGTTTGAGAGGAGGCGCCCTGCAGGTGGACAGCCTGGGTGCTGATCCCAGCTCCTGTGCTTTGTTGCTGCAGGACTTGGGGCACATTTCCTCCCCCGTAAGCCTGTTTCCTCATATGTAGAATGAGAGCAATAATCGTGCTGCCGTATAGGTTTTTCATGAGGGTGCATATAAAGGGCATATATAGCAGTGCGTGAGTTCATGACACAGTAGGAGCTCCTTGAATGTTATTACTGCTGTTACTAAGTATTACAATTACTACTCATACTCTGTTTTTCTCCTTTCTGTGCGAGTTCCTTTGCTGTTATTTAAGGTTTGGTGATTAAGTACAGGAAAGGCTTGGAAATGTAATAGTTTATTTTGTTTCCAACACGAAACCTGTTTCTAGTGTTGGTAGCAATCGTTCATTTAGCACGTTTAACAAACTAACAGGTTTTTCCTTGAACCCCAGACTGTGTTCCTTTTGAACGTCTCAGAGGGGGTTACATACCCTCCATCATCAAAGCCTAGAATCTTTAGAACAGAAGCTTGTCTCACAAAAAGCCTGGTGTCTCTGTTGCCACCACAACCTGAAACCAGCGGGTTAGAAACCACAGAGAGCCTACCACACACCGGAGGGGCCTGGAAGGGCCCGTCACGGTTTCTTGTAAGTTGTATGTAGACAGCTAAGCCAGGAACCAGTCTGGCTGAGAAAACTTAAAAAGTCTTCTTTTTTCCTTCCTCTTCATCTTTCTGTTCAAAAGGATCTAATTTGTTGCCTCTGGGAAGATTGAATGCATAGATGAGCTCTTAAAGAAATCTACGCAAGAATGTGCTGTTTCTTTGAGGGTGAGCGGGTGTTCGATATTTTTTTTTAATATGTTTTTAATTGACGTCAGAGAGGAAGGGAGAGGGAGAGAGAGAGAAACATCAGTGATGAGAGAGAATCATTGGTCGCCTGCCTCCTGCACACTCCCAGCCGGGGCATGTGCCCTGACCGGGAATCAAATCGTCAGACCTCCTCCTAGTTCACAGGTGGATGCTCAACTGCTGAGCCACACGGCCGGGTTCTCTATTACTTCCTAACTATTTGGGGTTACTATCTAAAGAGGATTTAAAATCATATTTTCTGTCCTCTTCCTCTTTTTGTTCATAGTTGTACAGTCTTTTCTCCATGTCTAACCTAGGAAACTATATAGTCCTCGTATATGTGCTTGTCAGCATTGATCCCGGCCAGTGCCTTACTGTGTTGGACAACGATTGGACTTTAGTTTGAGAAGAGGAAAGCTAAAGATTTATTTTCATATCAATCCACTAGGGACCTCACATGTTGTCACATTTATTACGGCCCCCAAATCACTTTATTCTTAGGCAGTGACTTGTGGAACATTCATGTAAATCTAGTCTCGTCCTTCTCCCCGTGTGTAAGTCCGCGTTCAACCTGGTGGTTTTTGACAGCCCCACTGCTGTTTAAAAGGCATGGCCCCATGTGACCGTATTGTCTTCAACCCGGTCACGTGAGACACTTTACGGTTCTGGGTCTCACATTTGGTTTGTTTTTCTTTGGAGCTTTACTGGAAACCAAACACTATTGCGTACAAGCTGCAGAAGCAGGAGGGGAAGTTGGCAAGAATCAACTGCTTTCTGTTTGGTCTGTCTGAGGCAGCTGACCTTTTGGAAGGAAATCGCTGCTCTTTGCTTCTTCCTGTAACAGTGCAGCCTGTGAAAGAGCATCGACACAGAAGCCGTTATCCTGGCTGATGTCTCGGGCGAAAGCGCCGTTCGCGTTGCGATGGGAGTTTCTCTGCGCACCTGCTGTATGTTGTAGGGACAGTCACTGGCATTCGTAGTGCTAAGCTGTGTGCCGATATCCCAGGAGACACAGAGCCCGAGAGAATCTGTTTCTAGAAAAAGTAGTTTGTTTTAGCAAAAGCAGCTGTATTTTCTTGCAAAGTGCCCGTGTTAATGCTGTGGTAAAAGTTACTTTGTGCACGGGCTTAATTCTTCTTAATGTTGAAGGTCCTGATGTCATTATTATTTCTTAGACTGGGTAACCTTTTTGTCACCAAGAGGCGGAACACGTTGACTTTCTAAGACAAGGTGAGCCCTTATTTAAATGTCATTTCATCTCAGAATTAGAATTAGCTGCTTGCCACCTGCTGCCCCATCGTTGGACCCACGTTTCTGCAGGACATGTTTGATTTAAACACAGTGAGCATCCTTCTCCACACATTGGCATTATCCTCAGAGAGCTGCCGTCAGTCGGACTTCGCAAATGGAACATCATCCAGTGAGCAAACAAAGGAACTAGCTGATGAGGCATTTCTCTCTTAACAGACACGATTTTAGTTTTCCATTTATTTTAACCAAAACATGGTTAGGTTCACTTTCTATTTTGTTGTGTGTGTGCGTGTTTTTTTGTTTTGTTTTAAAGGATTTACATTCAAATAATGGTCTGTTAGCAAGAATGAAGTAGATTCTGATTATGGTAAATACAGAGAATGAAGCTACCTGAAAGGGGGGTGGGGAGAGAGACAGGAAATGCTACCTTCTTCTGCGTTCAGTTTGGGTTCTATGGGTCGTGTCCTGTCTCAGTGTCCTTCGGTCTCTCTGCCAGGTGTGCTGTTGGGTGAGCGCTGGCGTGGATGCACATAAAGGTGTAAAGCATGACCTAGGGGGAATGATCTCAGGGCTGCCTTTCTGTTCTTGGGAACTGGCCTGAGCTGTTCAGCCTTCCTGAGACAATGAGGGACCCAGGAGGGAATACAGACCTTGCTGTGGCTGTAAGTGCAGGTTCTGGGCACAAACTAAGTTGATGTCAACAAAACAGGATCGAGCCCCCCAGTTCCGTTGGCCTTTTTGAGTAGGAGCCAATTTAGGAACCACTGGCTAAAGCCTTCTGGGATCTGGTCTTGTAACTCTAGCCTTCTGGAGGCCTTGAATTATTACCCTTAAACTGTCAAGGACCTTCTCGTATGCCAGTTGTGTTCAGGTGTGTCATTAGGGGTAAGGGGAATGTCGTTTTGAAAAAGGAGTTTTTAGAGAGAGTGGAAGGGAGGGGAAGAGACAGAGACAGACATGGATGTGAGAGAGACACATCTATTGGTTGGCTCCCCCACGTGCCCCGACGGGGGCGGGGATCAAGCCTGCAATGGAGGTAGGTGCCCTGGATCAGAACCAAACCCGAGACCCTTCAGTCTGCCGGCCGACGCTCTAAACCAGGGGTGGGCAAGCCAGGGCACAGCAAATGTTTTTAGTTACCTGGAAAGTGGTAGTGATGTAGTTTCTTCCCAAATGGGTTTTCAAGTTGCTAAATGGGTTTCAACACAGAGAGAATGAGAACGCCTCAAGCTGCGGGCACTGTGGCAGGACGGAGCCCGGCCTGCAGGACAGCGTCCTCCCGCCTGCCGCACAGAGTCTGAGAAGCCTGATGTGTGTGTACCGCCAGGGGTAGTTTCCAGGCGAGAGCACGCCTCTACTCTAATTGCTTTTTTTTCCCCCTTAGATTTTGAAAAAATTTAAAATTACTGAAAAATTGAAAGAATAGGACAATGAACACTCATATACACTTTGCCTAGATTGACCAGTTGTTAACAGTTGTTACATTTAGGTAACACCTCTCTCTCCCTCTCCCCTTTGAAAGTAAGTCGCAGACATCATGACTTTACCCTTAAATACTTGAGTATGTATCGACCAAGAACAAGGTCATTCTATATAAACTCAATGCCATTATCACTCTCAAGAACTGTAACATTGATACAATAATGTCCAATATATAGGCCATGTTAAAATGTAATTAAGCCCAACTGGTGTGGCTCAGTGGTTACGTGTTGATCTATGAACCAGGAGGTCACAGTTCAATTCCCGGTCAGGGCACATGCCCAGGTTGTAGCTCAATCCCCAGTGGAGGCATGCAGGAGACAGCTGATCAATAATTCTCCCTCATCATTGATGTTTCTATCTCTCTCTCTTTTTCCCTTCCTCTCTGAAATCAATAAGAATGTATTTTTTTAAAAATGTAATTAAAATTTTTAATTGTCCCAGTAATGTCCTTTAGAACTGTGGTGTGGGTTTTTTTTTTTTAAAAAAAACTATGTTCTAGGTAGTTATCATGTTTTTTTAGTCTCCTTTAATCTAGAACAGTTCCACATTTTTCTGTCTTTCATAAGAGTCTCACAATTTGTATTTGTCTGATTGTTTTATTCATGAGTAGAGGCGAAACATTTAGTGTGTGTGTTCTTTTCAGTGCGTCACATCTGGAGGCATAAAAATGACCGTTTGTCCCATGATCGGGGATGTCTGATTACTTGGTTAAGGTGTTGTCCACCAGCTTTTTCCACTGAATACATACCCTTTCCCCTCTGTGAATAATAAGTAATATGTGAGGCAATACTTTGACACTGTGTGACTGTCCTGTTCTCCAACAAGTATCACCTAATCGTTTTAGCAGCTACGATGATCCTTGTCTGAGTCCACTCTCTTTATTTATGGGATCGTGTGTGCTGGGCCAAGTTATATTTAGGTGACAGTTTTAAATATATGCTAACCCACTGATTAAGACTTGGTCTTTATATTTAGCAAATAGCTGCCCTCCCTCCTCCTTCAGGCCTCCCTTCCCCATTCTACCTCCTCCCCCTTTTCTCTTCTTCCCAAAATAATATGTGATCATTTGGCTGTGACGTAAAGATTTATGACTGATTGTCTTCCCAGAATATTATCATCTCTATGTTGCCTGGGCAAATTTTTCCTTGTTTATGTTTTTGCAAGCCAAATACTTTTATTCTTTCTGTTCTCGTCCCATCTGTTTAATAATCTGATTTTGTTAGAGAACTGCCTTCCTGATTGCTTATAAAGTAGTGTTTAGAAAAAAAAAAATTTAAAGAGCAGATGGCTCTGGTATTGACCTACTTCTACATGGGAAAGTTTTACTATAACCTTCTTACTTGATGTTAGGCCAATTTTAATATGAACAAGGCCTTAATCCTTTATTACTACTATTCAATATTTTTCCGTCCCTCCAGGTTCCTACTACTGGGTAACCATCACCACTGAATGCATGTAATCATTGATATTGACACAATCAGGGAACTTGCTGTTTATAGTCTTTCCAAAGTCCTTTAGTCTTTAAGGCGCTGATCTGATGAACAGTTTTTAATCCGGGTTCCTTGCCTTATACTTTTCAGATTAGAAGCAATGTTTATACACCTTCTGTTTCATCTGCCAACAAGCCCAAGCCTTTGCCCAAATCAGAGCTTCGCAACCTTAGGTCTCTTATTCTAATCTCTTAATTCATTTTCTTTCTTTAAATTATGAAATATGGCAACATACAGAAAAGTACATGAAATAACATGACCAACCACCACAAGTCCTCAAGACAAAGGGAGCATGGTAGAGGGGAGAAGGACAGCCTCGCGGGCCAGACTGCCCATATGTTGGCGCCCGCAGAAGTACGGGATCTGGAGCAAATACGTCACCTCCAAAAGAAACCTGTCCCCATCGAAAGTCACTGTTATCTGTTACCTCAGCCCTTGGCAACCACCGATCTGCTGTGTCCCTGTGGGCTTTCCTATTCTGGACATTTCATATAAATGGAATTTATAATATGTAGCCTTTTACGTCTGGCTTCTTTTGCTTAGCGTAATGTTTTCAAAGTTCATCCATGTTGTAGTATGTCAGTACTTTATTCCTTCAGACATAAGAATAATATTCCATTTAATCCATTTTATGTTTCCATTCATATTCATATTACTCCTTCTTCTGTTGATGGACCCTTGGGTTATTTCTACTTTTTGGCTATTATGAATGCTGCTGCTATGAACATCTGTGCACGAGTTTTTGCAGACATGTTTTCAGTTCTCTTAGGCATATATCTGGGAGTGGAACTGCTAGGTCCTATGGAAATTCCTTGTTTAACCTTCTGAAGAATTGCCAGCTTGCTTTCCAAAGTTGCACCATTTTACAATCCTGTTTAATTTGCCGACTCTCGGTTCTCTCATCTATAAAGTGGGGATTGTATAGTGCCGACCTCGTAGGGTTTTGTGAGGATTAAATGAGTAGGTTCAGAGAAGCGCTTACGGTAATAAATCATATAGTAGGTGTTCTGTGAGTGGTAACTCTGATGGTGGGTAATAACACTAATAAATGTTACTTTAATTCATTATTCAATCTTATTTCTAAAATTACTTTTATTTATTGGAGGAATCAAAATATTTGTTGCTAATAATTCATACTTTCATTAGTAGGAGTCAGATTGTCCTTGGAAAGAACAGGATTTTTAAATTATTTTTTTGGAGTTTGGTAACAGCAGGTCATTTCATTCAACATTGTTTCATTATAACGTTGAGGTGAGATCCCATAGAAACGTAACTCTTGTTTACATCATTAGCCAGTGGTAAAATTGGTTTCATTATACATCGTTTTGCTTGAAGTGGCAGAACCTATCGGTGACATTAAGTGAGGACCTACTGTACTTAGGGCAGTCTTGCTCTTGGGACACCACCCGTCACAATCTTACCCTCTCATTCGGAGGTGAGCCAGTAACAGTCCTCCCAGCGCCTTCCCCTACTTAGGTGACTTAGCCATTGTGTCTAGAACTTGAACCCTATGTTAGAGACTGGGATGGGATGGGATGGGATGGATGGATGGGATGGGATGGATGGGATGGGATGGTGGTTGTGGTGGGATGGAGGACAGGAAATATAAAATGCTTTATTTATTAATTATTTTATCCTCACCTGAGGCTATTTTTTTCCATTGCTGTTCAGAAAGAGTGGAAGGAAGGGAGACAGAGATAGAGAGAAAAACATTGATGTGAGAGAGATAAATCAACCCTTCACCTCCTGCTTGCGCCAACACAAGGGGGGTGGGGTGGGGGTAGCGGCAGGGAGCGAACCGGTGCTTGCGCCGACACTAACCACTGAGAAGCACTGGCCAGTGATATAAAATGCTTTAAATCATACCCATAGCCCTGGCCCGTGTGGCTCAGTTCCTTGAGCGTTGTCCTATGCATCAAAAGGTCGCCGGTTTGATTTCCATTCAAGGCACATGCCCAAGTTTATGGGTTCGATCCCTGGTTGGGTGTGTGAGGCAGGCAGCCAATCAATGTCTCTCTCTCTCTCTCTCTCTCTCTCTCTCTAGTTTTTAAAAACATATTAAGAACATAAATTAGACACATAAATGCAGCAGACCAGATCCCTGACACATTTTATGCCTCCCACTCCCACCCCAAGCTAGAATTCAGTCCCCCAGTTGGCCCATTGGCACTGGGACCCTTCCGTCATGTGCTCCCCACATCTCTTGGCCCAGAGCTTAGCTCTGGCATGACTTTGGCCACAGTGTTCCAGAAGAATTCAGAGAACGTGGTATTTTTCTTTACAAAGTTTTATATTGTATTTTTAAAAGGGAAAGCGTCTAATAAAAAGGTATTTATTATTGAGACAAAATTATCCCTAAGTCCCAGCCACTCATATAATTTATTTGTTAGTGGGTATTTACTTTTATGGTTTTCAGTAAGCGTGTATCATTATGAGCCATTAAACTTTGAAGCCGTTTTTTAACAATGGCCTGAGGGTCCAAGCTGCTTGACACTCTGAGGCACATCCAGACCCATAACGTCCGTGTAAACAGCTTACGCTTTCACAACGTTCTGCATCCCACCCTGTGGCGGGTTGTGTGGAGCGCTTATGACCACCAAGCGCAACTAAGCAGCACGCACATCGCTCTCGTCTTCGGCTAAAAATAAGATTGTGAATCCATTTCCCAGTCTTAGAGGAGCCCCTGTGATGATTTACCAAAGACACAAACCACTTCCCCTGTCAGAACATCACGCATTGAAGAGGGAGCTGCCGGTAAATAAGCAGAAGAGAGAGTGTATTGAGGCCAGGGGGGTGCCGTCACCGCCCGCCCGTGCGGAGAAGCAGGACCGGCGAGAAAGGGCAGAGGCTCAGCTGGGCGGTGTAGGTGTCGCCTGGTAACGGGTGTGGAGCGTGTGGACACGCACGCAGAAAGGCACTAATGCTCGGAGTCTAGCTTTTATTGATGCGATTGGGGAAAGTGGTGGTATTTTTTCCTCCCTCAACCACATATTTTAAATTGTTACATAATAATCTCAGTAAGTCATCCCCTATTCCATGTATATAATTTTTAGTTAAAAAGTAAAAATGATTCTGTGTTATTTCGTGCATTTTTATTTTACATTTTTTACTACTCATAGGCAAAACCTACTTTCTCTGTCAAAGTATTTTCATGTAGTGGAATTAAAGTACATTGTATTTATCAAAATAAGGTGGTTGCCACCTTATATTCTCCAGCTATTATTCTTCAAGTGTCACTTTAGAAAATAACTATTACATTTAGAGCCATAAACATATTCTGACAAATGCTAACAGCTCAGCATCCCACTATTTAATAAAAACTAAGAACCAATATAAAACACAAGACAAGCCCTAGGTGGGTTGCTCATTGGTTAGAGCATCGGACCTGAAAGGTGGCAGGTTTGATTCCATCAAGGGCATGTACCTCGGTTGCAGGCTCGATCCCCTGCCCCGGTGGGGCACGTGCAGGAGGCAACCAATTGATTTGTCTCTTTCACATCGATGTTTCACTCTCTCTGTCTCTCACCCTCCCTTCCAACTCTCTCTAAAAATCAGTGGAAAAAATATCCTTGGATGAGGATACAACAACAACAAACCCACAAAAAAACCCCACAAGATAAAATAAATAGTGTGACGTCTATGTAGTATCCCTACATATGTGGCATATCACCATGGTCTTTCTTAAAACAATAATAGGCCCTGACAAGTGTGCTCAGTGGTTAGAGCATCAACCCATGCACCGAAGGGCACGTATCTCGGTTGCATGCTCAATCCCCGGCCCCGGTTGGGCATGTGCGGGAGACAGCCAATCGCTGTATCTCTCTCACATCGATATTTATCTCGATATTTCTCTCCCTCCCTCCCTTCCTTCCCCTCTGGTTCTCAACCTTCTGGCCCTTTAAATACAGTTCCTCATGTTGTGACCCAACCATAAAATTATGTTCGTTGCTACTTCATAACTGTAATGTTGCTACTGTTATGAATCGTAATGTAAATATCTGATATGCAGGATGGTCTCATTTGACCGCCAAAGGGGTCGTGACCCACAGGTTGAGAACCACTGCAAAAAAAAAATCAATGGAAAAAATATCCTCAGGTAAGGATTAACAAAAACAAAAACACAAAAACAATAATAGACTCCCCGGGAATATGCTCAGACAGCAGGACATGTGAAATATTTGCCACATATTTGGTGTGTATGTAATCACTCAGCAAGTGTTTATTGACTACTTGCCTTGTCACAGAGGCAAATAACAGTGCTCTTTTCACTCACCGTTCTTCAGAGTTCAGTGGGGAAGACGGACAAAAACCAATTAACAGAAACTAAAAGGAAAAATGACAGATTGTGGCAAATGTTATTAAGGAACAAATAGACCATTGTAAATATAGACTCATCCAAATTATAAAGTCATCCCAGTTATAAAATTTGTCTCCATTTCTTGCCTGGGTATTTCATACCTGGTATCTATAGATTTGACCAAACTGTGTGTATACATTTATTTATGCAACAAAAAAAGTTACTGCTTGCTAATGTGCCAGGCACTGTTCTAGGCCCAAGAGAAGAAGCAGTGAACAAAACAAAGTTATTGTGTTTGTGGTGACTTCTCCCTGGTAGGGAGACAGTAGACAAATATGTGATAAATGTCAGGAAGTGATCCATGGTATGGAGAAAATAAAGTAGACGGAGGATAGTGACCAGAATGTTATGTTACTTGGGTGGATCGAGAAGGAGTCTCTGAGGAGAGAAACGTTTTCCTTCTTTTGTCTCTTAGGTCAGTTCAGTTAATGAATGCAGGATGCAAGATTGTTTTTCTATCTGTTGGTAGCTTTCACACGGTCGCTACAAGAGCTATGGTGAGGTCTTCTCTCCAGTTCCCTTCACTAAAAGAGATTAAAACCTGCATTCTTTTCTTCATGCTTTTTTCATTCTTCCGTACGTGTAAATGCCTAAGCGCCTTCGTCCACCCACCCATCCATCCCTTTACCTTTTATCCAAAAAAACATGCTTCGGTGTCTATTCCAAGTTTCCAAAATCTTGGGACATGATTTATTTGATTAAAAATTACATTGTACAATTAAATGCCTTCCAGATGTTTGATGATCACGTGGAGGGAGCTCTTCTATCCAAGAGTCCTTCTCCCAGTAAACTCTCAGCCATTGAAATCTGATGTCTTGGGTGATCTTAGGGATCCCAGCCGTCATGCCCCAAAGCTCTAAATAAAATCGCACACCGCTCAAGTGCTCTACAGCATTGCACAAGCCTAAAATAGGTAACTGGCTCCCTCCCCACACCTCACTGTTGGCTCACTGGCTAGTCCCATAAATAGCTCAGTGTTACACTATTGGACAACGATAACTAACAGAGATGGGGTTTTTGTTTCCTAACACACACGTGTAGTCTTTGGTGTTCAACAAAAGCAAGCTCTAACTCACTGGACCCTGACCATAACAGCTCTTGGGAGAATTGTGCCAATCAATAGCCAAATTGATTTTGGATGGGATTAAAGATAGCCCTGCCTTATACCGGAGTCTACATTAGGGATCAGTGTTAGAGCAAGATTCCGTGTTAGTCCCTTCTGTGTACATGAAAGTCATGTTACCGCTGCAGTCAGGTTAAGCCCAGAGGGTTTCTGCCAAATGAATTTAAAATTCTCAGTTGGGTCTGAGAAGGCATCTTGGTAGTTTTATAAGACCGTTTTTTCTGAAATCAAGAGCATATTTTAAAAATCTACCCGTATTGGAAATATAATGGTTCTTGTTTCTGACTCTTAGCTGGAATGTATTGTTGTTATGTCGGAAAGATTTTTAAAGGCTATAATTTAACAGAGCAGTGCTTCATAAATTCCTTAGCAATAACTCAGAAGGTGAACCTTGGGGTATTTTTCCAATAAAGTTGTGCCCTTTGTGTGCAAAGCATTGTTGCTTAGGTAACTAGTCATAATACATAGGGTTCAATCCATGCTTTACATATTTTCACTTTCCTTGTACTGGGTCTTTTTCAAAATGGCAGTATGTTTATTGTAATTCTTAAAAGTCAAAATAAGAATCTAAAACAAGTGCTTTTTTAAAAATCCTCATGCTAATTATTCATCATGACTGTTCAGATGCTGCTTACTGTTGCTTCAAGTTCGGAACAAAAGTGAAGAATGTCTATGATATCAAAGCTATAGGCAGTTCTTCCCCTGTGCACTTTTGCTTCTAGGACTTCAGTATATTGTATAGTCAGAGCTTTATGGACCCACCTAGATAGCTTCCCAGGGCCACACGGAACACCTACATCCTGAAAACATTGTAACGCTAAAATTCAGTTCAAGAACCCTGACCTTCAGTCTACCAAAAAGGGCTTAAAAAGCAATTATCTTTAATAACTATATTAATGTTTACTCTAGTGGATTTAAAAGGGGAAGAAATAAAACCACCCAAACCACCGATTGTTTGTTTAGCAGATTGTAAACATGGCTGTGTGGATCCAGGCCCAGCAGCTGCAAGGAGATGCCCTTCATCAGATGCAAGCCTTGTATGGCCAGCATTTCCCCATCGAGGTGCGCCATTACTTATCCCAGTGGATCGAAAGCCAACCTTGGTAAGTGAACCGACTTTTCTCCATCATATTTCATGAAGCACAAGCTTGCTTATTTATTTATTTATTTATTTTTAAATATATTTTATTGGTTTTTTACAGAGAGGAAGGCAGAGGGATAGAGAGTTAGAAACATCGATGAGAGAGAACATCGATCAGCTGCCTCCTGCACACCCCCTTACTGGGGATGTGCCCGCAACCCAGGTACATGCCCTTGACCGGAATCGAACCTGGGACCCTTCAGTCCGCAGGCCGACGCTCTATCCACTGAGCCAAACCAGTCAGGGCAGCACAAGCATATTTAAATTTGGAAGATTTTTTACAGAGAGGAAGGGAGAGGGATAGAGAGTTAGAGACATCAATGAGAGAGAACATTGATCAGCTGCCCCCTGCACACCCCCTACTGGGGATGTGCCCGCAACCCAAGTACATGCCCTTGACCGGAATCGAACCTGGGACCCCTGAGTCCGCAGGCCGACGCTCTATCCACTGAGCCAAACCAGTCAGGGCAGCACAAGCATATTTAAATTTGGAAGATAACACGATGGGGACTCCAAAACTTATACCTTAAAAAAAAAAAATCGTGACCCATGAAGAGGTATTTAGCGCCATCTGAAATTTTAGAAAGATAGAATGACTCTGAGGATTTTAAAAATAGGATATCTTCCACCCGACCGGCATGGCTCAGTGGTTGAGCATTGACCTATGAGGTCACAGGTTGTGGGCTCCATCCCCAGTGTGGGGTGTGCAGGAGGCAGCCGATCACTGATTCTCTCCCATCATTGATGTTTCTATCTCTCTCTCCCTCTCCCTTCCTCTCTGAAATCAATTTAAAAAATATTTTTTAAAAAATAGGATATCTTCTCTTTAATAGTATATTCTGGCTGAACACATTTGAGCATTGCAGCTAGTAAAAACCAATTAACAAATGTTTTGAGTGCCTGTAGGGTGCCTAGCAGAGTCGTGGGTAGTAGAGTTCCTATGAAAAAATTAAAACCTTTGTCCACATAGAATTTAGTGCTGAATGGGACAGATAAGGTATGTCCATTCACATAATTTTTTTTAAAAATGTATTGTTAACAAATTTAACAATGGAGAGACATTGGTGTTTTCAAATTTATATGTAAATTATATGTACACGTAAAGACTAAAAGACGATACACCAAAATATTAACAATAACTATATCTTGATGGCAGATTTAACAAGCATGTTTATTTTTCTTCTTTTCCAAATTACTCTTTATTATATATTCGGGGGGGGGGGATTGTTTTTAAACTCTTTTAGAATTAGTACAATGCAGTCAACTGTTAGGAATATTTCTCACTGACGTTACTGCACGCCAGGCACAGGATGCCCGCTGCTCTGCTCGGGCCGGGAGCAGGTTGGTTTGTCACCAGCCGGTCAGTCTGAGCTGACAGACTCATCCTCCGCTCCAGGCCTGCACCCTTGCGGGCGGCGTGGCCTCTCCGACAGACGGCCTTTGTGCTGCTGTTCGAGGAGGGCTGTATCCCTGGCAGTCACGCTGCCTTGGAATAGTCGCAGTTGTGTATTAGTAGCGAATTTCTCTCCAGAAACGAGAGAGCACCGGGAAGGCAATTTTCTAGGCAATTTAAAAAAAAATCTCAGCCTCATGTAATTAAGTGAGAAAAAAGAGAGCTAAGTGTGAGCGTGTCAACTGCACCTTGCTTAGTGCTTTTCCATTTCCTTTTCTTTTTTAAAGATCTCGAGGAGTTCAGAAAAACATTAATAGGAGGTTTCTGTCTATTTAAAATGTCGTTGGATAGAGTTTCCACGTCATCTTCTTACTGAGCAAATGTTAAGAGGCTTGTGTTGATATTAAAGGAAATCTGAATTTTATTTAGTTAAAAAAATTTTTTTTCCAATGACAGTGGCATACAATATTGTATTCGTTTCAGGTATACAACATAGTTATTAGACATTTATTTAACTTATGAAGTTACCACCTCAATAACTCTAGAATTTTCCTTAGTTTGGGTTTTCTTAAGAATATAAAGATTTTAGCCCGGCCGGCGTGGCTCAGTGGTTGAACGTTGACCGATGAACCAGGAGATCACAATTCGATTAGGGTACAAGCCCAGGTTGTGGGCTCGATCCCCAGTGGGGGGCGTGCAGGAGGCAGCCAATCAATGATTCTCTCTCATCATTGATGTTTCTGTCTCTCCTTCTCACTTCATTTCTGAAATCAATAAAAATATATTTTAAAAAAAGAGTGTAAAGATTTTAATGAAAATGTCCAGTTCTTCATGTTTACGGTAAGAAAATATTTGGGGGGATGGTCTGGGGGGGAAGGACAGAGAATTAAGTACAAGAACCAGTACTTGTTTTCCATGAGACTGGATCGTCTCAAGAACGGCTTCCTCGGATGAGGAGCGTTATTGCCGGGTGACACAGGGGTGCATGCCGGGCCGCCATTCCTTCCTTCCAGGCTCTTATTGAATATGTATTTTATTTAGTCCATAGACCATGCACATTTAACATTTGACTTTCTCCGCTGCCTTCTCCAAGTGCATATTTCAGCACATCGTTTGATGAAGTCCGTTACCAGCGTGTGGTACTCCTGTTTGTGCCTCCATTTGAGATTCGTTGCTAACTGACATGATGGGGTTAGAGATGACAGCACTTTTTAGCGAGCACCAAATCTCTTGTTCAGCGTTAGACTCGAGCAACAGTAATTGAATATTATTTCAGTCTGATAGCTGTTTGGTTTCTCCAGTGAGCTGAGTAATTAAGTTCTGCCAAATAGCAACTGTTGCCTTAAATTGTTTAAAACATGAGAGTGTCGGGGAGGGGGGTTGAGAACGGGGGAAGGAGAGAGGGAGGAAGGGAGGCCATCCAAGCCCTGTCACCATCACCTGGCTCTGCATCAATAGAGTCTCTGGTTCCCTGGGGGAGTTAGTGTTGCCTGCAGGTCCCACGTCTGCGACTTGTGTAAATGCTCGAAGGAAGAGTCTGTCTGAACGAATCCTTTCCAAGGCTTCTTAGAAACAGCAATAAATGTTGTTTCCCCTGCCTTAAGAAAATACTTCATGTGACATTAGCAACATACAGAACCATTCGAGGGTGGGGGAAAAAAGTAGAACATTCTCGACATTGTGCCCCTGACACCGTGAAGGGGCGACTATAAATAGGAAATTATCGGAGCCCTGTTTCCTTCAGTGTGCAGAGAGCACTTCCCTCTCCCTTCATTCCCAGCGGGCAGCATGAGCACCACAGCAAGTGAGTAGGAGGAAGAGAAAGGGCAGCACATTGTCAAAAAAAAAAAAGAAAGAAAGAAAATAGACTCTTATCCAGTCCACTCAGGTAGTCAGTGGATTAGGATTAGGTGCATGTAGGCATCTAGTCCAGTGATGGCGAACCTATGACACACGTGTCAGAGGTGACACGCGAACTCATTTTTTTGGTTGATTTTTCTTTGTTAAATGGCATTTAAATATATAAAGTAAATATCAAAAATATAAATCTTTGTTTTACTATGGTTGCAAAGATCAAAAAATTTCTATATGTGACACGGCACCAGAGTTAAGTTAGGGTTTTTCAAAATGCTGACTCGCCAAGCTCAAAAGCTTCGCCATCACTGATCTAGTCCATTTGAATGGAACTCTCCTAAAATGTGCAGTGAGCTTTACGCCGAAATCTCTTTAGCCAAAGACAAGGTGTGATGTGTTGAGGCTGCATTGATATAGGCTCATGTGCATGTATGTATACATATGTATGTAATTTTTTTCCCCTAGGGACTCAATAGATCTTGATAATCCACAGGAGAACATTAAGGCCACCCAGCTCCTGGAGGGCCTGGTGCAGGAGCTGCAGAAGAAGGCGGAGCACCAGGTGGGGGAAGATGGGTTCTTGCTGAAGATCAAGCTGGGGCACTACGCCACGCAGCTGCAGGTGGGTGTGAGCGCTGGGTCGCCGCTGCCTGCCCCAGGCGGGCCTTGTCCATTCAGTTCTCCCCCCAGAGAGCTTCTTCCTCTTCAGCCCGGCGTTGTCGTCGTCGAGTTGCCTGCATAAAGCTCCTGTTGTTTATTGTCACGGTTGTGGCTCTTTTTAAACTTTGTATTTGAAAATAATGTCAAGTTTACAAAAAGTTGCAAGGTTGATACAAAGACTCCCATTGTGAACGTTTGCTTTATCATGTGCTCTCCGCATACCCATGTTTTTTTGGTCACTTGAGAGTAAGTTGTGCACATCATGTCCCTTTGCCCCAAGTACTGCAGCGTCCGTTTCCTAAGAATATTATGCACCTTCTCTCACATCGTTGTCGTCCAGTCATCACCGTCAGTAAACTGTACGTTGATAGAACACCTTCGGGTGACTTTATGTCTGTCTTCCCATCTTGTGAAATGACTTGATGCCCTTTAGGGCATTTATTTCCCCCCCTCCAGTCCTGGATCCAGTCCAGCGTCACATCTCGAGTCTAGTCATCATGTCTCTTTAATTGCCTTTAATCTGGAACTGTGTCTCAGCCTTTCTTTGTCTTTAGTGACACTGACACTCTGAAGTAACTTAGCTCCTCTACTCTTTAAAGATAAAACGTATCTCCTGTTGGGTTTGTGTGGCATTTCCTCATGATTAGATTCGGGTTACACAACCCTGATCAGCACCCTGAAGGCTGTTGCGTCCTCCTCACGGCGCCACATCTGGCGACGTACAGCGCCCGTCTCCCCGTCGCTGGTGGAGTGATTTGCATTGCCCAGCAAGGTGGTGTCCAGGTTCTCCTCTGAGGTGGCCTTTTGAAGTGTATTTCTCCTGTGTCCAAGAATGATGCCCTAGTACTCTGGACAAATTAGGGTGCAAGAAATGAAATGCTCTTACCTTCTTACGTAGTTAGGTTTTTTACAAGGTGCTTTCCTGGTCCCCCGTTGATATTGAAGGAGCAGCGTATCTCATGATTACACCGCCGTGTCTCTAGGAGTCTCCTCCAAGGTGGGGTTCGGCCCGTAGCATGGAGGGGAACAGAGTGATGTCTGCTCTTGGATTCTTTCAGAACACGTATGACCGCTGCCCCATGGAGCTGGTCCGCTGCATCCGGCACATTCTGTACAATGAGCAGAGGCTGGTCCGAGAAGCCAACAATGTGAGTGTCCCCTGGGTGTGAGGAGAGGAGTTGGGAAACCCCATCTTGCCCACTTCCCTCTGGACCCCGTTTGTCATGATGACTCGGGGCGCACCTATCGGTGTCTCTATAAACAGAGTCTTGTCCTAAGAGGCAACAGGAAATAGAAGACTGTACTCTGGTCTTAACTGATTTATAGCCTTGATGAGCTTGCAGCCACAAAACAATGTGCACAGGTGTGAAGTAATTCAACCCCCAATGAATAATTTTTCAGTCAAGTCATGTCTATATTCAGGTGAGACTTCTGCCCACCTTCTCTCAGCCAGCTGGTGAAGGAATGGATCAGACCAGGTCACTTCAATGCCTGGGTCCACAAAGCCCTTGTGGATGCGCCCCCTGTAACTTCACTTTGGGGTCTCCAGGATGATACCTGGGAGAGGTTCCCCTGATTTCCTCTCCCCTCACTCACAAGTAGGTCTGTTCCCCACTTTGTCCTCAGGGGTCATCATCATTAGTAGGAAAACCCAGGTAACTTTGAGGGGAATTAGATGGACCGTGATTGGGATAGTCTGTTGGAGGCCAGAGCGGCACTAGGAATTCCTGCTATGTTTTAGGAAGATGCCATGTCCACCAGCGCCCCCTTTCCTCCTCTTCCGACTCTACACCAATTCTCACAAATGACGTTTGCAACTCCCAGGACTCAAAATTAAGGTTTTGGGGTTTCATCCCCGTGATAGGTGCTGGCCGATCCCTTGCATTGAGGCCTGAGTGGTCTCCCGTCCTCACTGCCCAGCTCACTGCTGCCTGCACTCTGCCCCCGCTCTGTGCCCAGGGTGCCTCTCCAGCCGGGAGTCTTGCCGACATCATGTCCCAGAAACACCTTCAGATCAACCAGACCTTTGAGGAGCTGCGGCTGGTCACGCAGGACACCGAGAACGAGCTGAAGAAGCTGCAGCAGACTCAGGAGTACTTCATCATCCAGTACCAGGAGAGCCTGAGGATCCAGGGTGAGGCGGGGGTGGGGCTGGGAAGAAGCTCAGGTCCTGTCGGGAGAGAACCAGCTGCCTTTCTCTGGAGCATCAGGGGATCGTTCGCGTTGGGAAGATGAGGCCTGGGAAGGGGAGAAGGCCAAGGCTTGCCTTCGGAGAGTGTGGCTCTCACTCAGGCTGCCCATACCCAGCCAGCTCCTGGTCTTGCAGGAAGCGCTCCCAGTCCAGTAGACAGCACCCCGACGGTGCTTTTGTATGTTTTAAGTGCTGCTTCACTCTCTGAGCAGGGCCAGTATAAGGGCTCAGGACTGTGTTTCTGGTGACAAACTTTTCATGTTCAGCACAGCTATTCAGAGAGGCCATCCTGGGGCACATCAGTTGCCCGTAGACAAAGGCCCCCCTTCCTGGTAGGAATCCAGCCTGGCAGTCTGGGTACAGAGAACTTCAGAGTCAGCCCGGAGGCTGTGGAGCCTCAACAGCGCCCTCTGTTGTCCTTGTGGGAGCCCGGCAGTGTGGCAGTGGTTTCCTCAGAGAAGCCTTTGCTGCACCAACCAGCCATTCAAACACACACACACACACACACATGCAGTGCGCTCTTCCAATACCACGCGTGTGGGCGCCGACCTGTAACTATATCGATACTGTTTATTAACTGTGTCTTCCCCACTAGGATGTAAATTCTTTGAGAATTCTTTGAGAAGGGACTGCGTCTTACATCTCTATACCCTCAGGCCAGCACATTGCCTGAATCACCATAGGTGTTGAATAGATGTCGGTGGGATGAGTCTAGCATGTCTTCTTCCCATCTGATTCCATACCTGACTGGCCCCAGGGTGGGGGGAAGCCCACTTCCCAGATGGGGGAACAGGATAGCCAAGCTATTAGTTCTCTCCTGGCCGTGGACTGGTCACCATATCGATGATCCTATTCTTGGGTTTTCTGTTTCCTATGTATGGGTTTGGGTTTGGGTTCTGGTTTGGGCTTGTACCCATCATGCAATGTCAGTTCTGTCTCATTTATCAAGTTCACCATCAGAAACACAGACTATTGATCTGTTGTGCAGAGAAGGCTCAGTTCCCTCCAGTGGAGCAGACAATTGCCCCACATCTCCTGGCGGCCTTCCCAGAAACGTCTGCAAATTGCCAGGAGAAACCGAACTGGGTCGCTGGCATAGGGAGGCCGCACCAGGCGTTGGGGACACCACCACCTCCCTGTGGTGGCAGGATCCTGAGGTGGCACCCGGACGACCCTGCTGTGTGCCCTGCTGGACGACGCTCTTCCTGCTCAGGCCCCTGCAGTGAGATGGGGGCCATCTCTCCGCATCCCCTTCTCGTCCTGGGCTCTTCCTGGCTGTCTAGAGTTGCTTTGGTCCTTCCCAGCCTGTGTGACCTTGGGCAGGGCCTAGGTCAGTGTGACGGGGCCCTCAGAGGCCTGCCAGGAGCTTGACCAAGACATGCTGATGCTCACATCTTCTTGACTCAGCCCGAGGAAGGACACTGGGTGTTCAAAATGGCTATTGGCTGCGCATAATTCCCCCAGAAGTTAGGATAGTGTTTCCCTAGGCGGGGGATGGGATCGCAAGCTGTGGAGGTGAGCAGGTGGCTTTAATTGGGAAATGTTTGATTTCTTAATCTGGGTTATGAATTCACAGGTGTTTTTATATGATTCTTTCTCCCTTCCCTATGTCTTAAGTATTTCATAACTGATTTTTTTAAACCCTCACCTGAGGATATTTTTCCATTGATTTGTAGAGAGTGGAAGGCAGAGGGAGAGACAGAGAGGGAAAAAGCATCGATGTGAGAGAGACACATCAATTGGTTGCCTCCGACATGCACCCCGACCAGGGCCGGGAGCCTGTAGCCGAGGTACATGCCCTTGACCAGAATCACACCCGGGACCCTTCAGTCCACAGGCTGATGCTCTATGCACTGAGTCAAACCAGCTAGGACAGTGATGGCGAATCTATGACCCGCGTGTCAGAGGTGACACGCGAACTCATTTTTTTGGTTGATTTTTCTTTGTTACATGGCATTTAAATATATAAAATAAATATCAAAAATATAAATCTTTGTTTTACTATGGTTGCAAAGATAAAAAAATTTCTATATGTGACACGGCACCAGAGTTAAGTTAGGGTTTTTCAAAATGCTGACACGCCGAGCTCAAAAGCTTCGCCGTCACTGAGCTAGGGTCATAACTGCTTTTTTTTTTTAAGGGTAATTATGCCTCACTGACTCCCTATTCCTGCCATTGATAACCTTCCTAAAGGTTATCTCTCTCTCTCTCGCCTTCTCTCTCTCTCCCTTTCCTCTCTCTCTTTTCTCTTCCTGTTGGTCAGCTGAGCTCACAGTGACCCAACCTGGCGCCTTTTGTGCATAGAGAACCTCCTCTCCCTGAGCAGAGGCAGCTGTGCCCCAGGAGGCGGCACAGGCCCAGGAGCAGGGCCTTCCCTGGCGGGCGGGGCTGAGAGCTGCTGGTCCCCGTCACCCTTCAGTCCTGTCCTGTAGCCCATTGAGCAACAGGGACTCACTCTCACCCAGAGCTTCACGTGCCAGGCAGCTTCCTGAGCATTTTCCGTATCAGCCCTTTTCATCCCCAAGCAACCCGCCGAGGCAGGGAGCAGGCTTCCCCGTTTGCACCCGGGAGACTGAGGCACAGGACAGTGAGGCGGTTCCCCCCGGGTCCACCCCGCTAGCAGATGGCCAGGCCGAGGCAGACGAGGCAGTGTGGCTCCAAGCCGGACCCCAGTGTGGCGTGAGGAAGGCGGGGCCCCAGCTGTGTGGGCTGGGGTGGTAGGATCCTCCTCAGCTGTCCCCACAAGCTTCTGTCTCCTCGTCCCTAGAGGGGAGCTCAGAGTTGGGGGCCAGGGAGTGAAGCTGGCGCATCTCCGGGGCCCTTGGCTGCCAGATCCCTGACTGGCCGTTGGTCAGGCACGTCACCCTGAGGGTCTTGTCTGCAGAGCAAGTGAGTGTGGTTTCTCCGGGTTTCCTGCTGGAAGCTGGGGGTCATGGCCACGGTGTCCTGTCCCTCCTCCAGCTCAGTTTGCCCAGCTGGCCCAGCTGAACCCGCAGGAGCGTCTGAGCCGGGAGTCAGCCCTGCAGCAGAAGCAGGTGTCCCTGGAGGCCTGGCTGCAGAGAGAGGCCCAGACGCTGCAGCAATACCGCGTGGTGAGTGGGTGTGCGTCCCTCTCCTCCAATCCCGCGTGGTGAGTGGGTGTGCGTCCCTCTCCTCCAGGCGTGGGGTTCACATCCTGAGCTGTCGGGGACCTGAGCTGTCGGGGACCGAGAGAGGGATAGGCCAGGGCCCCGGGGGCAGGAGGCCTGTGGGGACCTGTGAGGCAGAGCAGGTCGGGGGGAGGCCCTGCCTCCTGAGCGAGGCCCTGCAGGATTGTTCCCCAGGAGCCAGAGGGCCTGCTCCCCTCCCTCAGGAGCTGGCCGAGAAGCACCAGAAGACCCTGCAGCTGCTGCGCAAGCAGCAGACCATCATCCTGGATGACGAGCTGATCCAGTGGAAGCGGCGACAGCAGCTGGCCGGGAATGGGGGGCCCCCTGAGGGCAGCCTGGACGTGCTGCAGTCCTGGTAATTTGGGGGGGCAGGGGCAGGTAGGGAGGGGGGCCGGGGCTCAGGGTGGTCTACCAGCTGCTTATTCTGCTCCCGAGTTTCCATGTGCAGCCGCTCGCTCTGTCCTGTGACAGGTCTTACTTCACCAGTGGTCTGGTTCCCGCACAGACTTTGATGCCCCCAGTCATGCCCCCTCCCTGGGAAGGGAGTCACTGTGTTGGGGGTGGGGCAGGGCCAGGTGCTCTGGGCTGATGCTCGGCTGGTTGGGTACAAATCAGGGTCACGCCTCCTGCGTGTCTGTGTTTCTGGAAGTCAGGGCAGCCGCTGCCCTGCTCTGCTCAGTGGACAGGAGTGGGGGCTGAGGTGTAAAGCCTTCCTGGGTGAGGGTGGGGCTAGGTCTTGGGGGGCTCACCCCAGACTGGGAGCCTCTTCACCTTTGGCCTGGGGGAGGGGTGAAGGCCTGTCCTTTCCTTTGGCCCCGGGGCTGGGGTGCAGGTGTGAGAAGTTGGCCGAGATCATCTGGCAGAACCGGCAGCAGATCCGCAGAGCTGAGCACCTCTGCCAGCAGCTGCCCATCCCCGGCCCCGTGGAGGAGATGCTGGCCGAGGTCAATGCCACCATCACAGACATCATCTCCGCCCTGGTGACCAGGTGACTGCTGCCTCTCGGCCGCGCCCAGCCCCGCATGTGGTTGGCCTGGGGGAGGCGGGGGTGCTTTGCAGATCGGGGGGCTCTCACTGGCACCCTTGTCTCTCTCTGCTCACACCCTTTCCCTTCTGTCCCCAGTCGCCGTTGACCTTTCCCAGTTTCTCTTGTGAGCGCTACCTGGGCTGCCCTTGCTTCCTGCGCCCTGGTGACCAGGTGACTGCTGCCTCTCGGCCGCGCCCAGCCCCGCATGTGGTTGGCCTGGGGGAGGCAGGGGGTGCTTTGCAGATGGGGGGCTCTCACTGGCACCCTTGTCTCTCTCTGCTCACACCCTTTCCCTTCTGTCCCCAGTCGCCGTTGACCTTTCCCAGTTTCTCTTGTGAGCGCTACCTGGGCTGCCCTTGCTTCCTGCAGCCCCGTGCCAGCTGCCGAGTTCATGTCCCTGCCTCCCCTCCCGCCTCCCCGCGGCTCTCAGTGGCCTCCCTGGGAACAGGGTCTCGGCCACGTGCCCTTCCTCTGCCTGCCGAGCCCTGTGTGCGGCCTCCTCCCCACACGGGGGACCAGAGCCCTGTGCCCTGAGGCAGCATCTCGTCCCTTGGGTCCCCGCAGCACGTTCATCATTGAGAAGCAGCCCCCTCAGGTCCTGAAGACCCAGACCAAGTTTGCAGCCACCGTGCGCCTGCTGGTGGGGGGGAAGCTGAACGTGCACATGAACCCCCCCCAGGTGAAGGCCACCATCATCAGCGAGCAGCAGGCCAAGTCGCTGCTCAAGAACGAGAACACCCGCAAGTACGTGCGTCCTTCCTGTGTCTCGGCCCCTTTCCTCGAGGCCCGGCCGTGGGATGGAGGGATCCTCCTCAGAAGGGTCCTATGTGGGGGCCCCGGCAGCCCTGCTGGCCTTCTGGCTCTCAGAGAAAGAGCAGAAGGGGTTCTTCTGTGAAGATAGTATGATACGGTTTCACTTAGTAGGAATTCACTTAAGAAAACTTTTGTATATTTTATGTATATTTCTTTCTTTTTTAAAAAAAATATATAACATTTCTTCTAAATGACGTAAATTTTTATTTTTTAAATATATTTTTATTGATTTCAGAGAGGAAGGGAGTGGGAGAGAGACAGAAACATCAGTGATGAGAGAGAATCATTGATTGGCTGCCTCCTGCAGGCCCCTCACTAGGGATCGAGCCCGCAACCCAGGCATGTGCCCCTGCCCGGAATCGAACCTGGGACCCTTCAGTCCTCAGTCTGACTCTATCCACTGAGCCAAGCCAGTCATGGCATGACATAAGTTTTTAAATACCTTCTGTGCTTCCTCCGACCCCGAGCATATCTGTACCCGCTGTGAGCCGAGACCCTGCGTGGGTTTAGAGCTGCGTCTCTCTGATTTGCAGTGAGTACAGCGGGGAGATCTTGAACAACTGCTGTGTGATGGAGTATCACCAGGCCACAGGCACGCTCAGCGCCCACTTCAGGAACATGGTGAGGACGGAGGGAGGGGACGAACAGATTCCCCTGCTTCTCTGAGGACCTGGTCACCTGAATGTTCTCCTTTGCAGTCCCTGAAACGCATCAAGAGGTCTGACCGTCGTGGGGCAGAGTCAGTGACCGAAGAAAAATTCACAATCCTGTTTGAATCACAGTTCAGTGTTGGTGGAAATGAGCTGGTCTTTCAAGTCAAGGTAAAGCCCTCCCTCAGCAGTGTGTCCGTGAGCACTTTATTCACACAAGAACTGTTTGGGTCACATAGTCCCTTTTTAAAAAATTTTTATTGATGAACAGAAAGTGAGGACGGATATTTGTTACTTGCTCTCCCCCCCCCCTTGCACACACCCCCCAAAATGTCTTCATTCTCTCTCTTTAAAAAATATATATATATATATATTTTCTTACTGATTTCAGAGAGAGGAAGGGAGAGATAGAAGCATCAATGATGGAATAAAATCATTGATCGGCTGCCTCCTGTACGGCCCCCTACTGGGGATCAAGCCCACAACCCAGGCATGTGCCCTGTCCTGGAATGGAACTGTGATCTCCTGGTTTGTGGGTCGATGCTCAACCACTGAGCCACACCGGCCGGGCCGTACTCTCTCTTCTCTCTCTCGTTCTCTGTGTAACTTAGAGAACTTATTCCATCCTTCAGAAATACCTAATGAAACCTCTTTTACCATATCTGAAATGTCTAAGATTTTGCCAGTGTGGAGAAGTCATATTATTCCCGGAGCCATTCACATTCTGTGTCCCAGGTGACACTTACTGAAGCTTGAAGAATGAACATGTTGTGATTGAAAAGAAGAAGAAAAGGGGAAGAAGTGTGGCTGGTGGGCGCTCAGCCCTTCTGTGTCTTTGCAGACCCTGTCCCTCCCGGTGGTGGTGATTGTCCACGGCAGCCAGGACAACAACGCGACGGCCACGGTTCTCTGGGACAATGCTTTTGCGGAATCTGTGAGTTGGTCCCTTGGGCCTGCGGGTCTCAAGATCTTGATGCTGGTGTCATGGATCTCTTCCACGTGTTCTCCCCAAAAGAGCATAGAAAAAAAATGCTGTTCTTGTTGGCAGGAGGCAGAAGGGAGTGTGTGTAGGAAATGGAAAGAGGGCGGGCTTGACGCCAGGCCAAGGTTTCAGGGCAAGCTGCCCCATGTCCTCACTCTGTGGCTGTGGGAAATTCACTCCCTCTCTGAGCTCAAGGCCCCTAAGTGTCTACAACCCGGGATCATAGTGCTCCATCGTGTCGTTAGGAAGATAAACTACATAACATACAAAATGCTTGTCTCAGACTCCATGCTCAGGAGATTTTGTTTTGAATCCCTGGGTGAAACCATACGTGGAAGTTGGGGCTCCCAGGTTCCTTCTGGAGGCGCGACCTCTCAGGAGGTGCCTTTAGCTCAGAAGTTGCTTCCTGTCATCCTCCTTCCAATAAATGAGGGTGACATTTAGTTGCCAAATGTTAGGTTCTGTGATTCATCCCAGGTCTCATGAAGAGTGAGATGCTTTGCCTAAGGGTGAAAGCACGATTTTATGGGTTTATGCACCCAAATGCTCTCTGAATGCCACTGGCGTGCTGCCTGCTGAGCGTTTCCACACCATTCAGTAGGCCCGGTTCTACGTGTATTTCCAGTAGAGGTTAGTCCGTAACAGCATGATTAGAGGGTTCTAGTTGTTATTTGGGACATAAAAGTATGTTCTTCTCTAATGGGAACAGTCTTACATTCTCAACAGTTTTCTCTACAGAACCATATATTTGCTGCAGAGGTGAGATTCTTATCAGAAATTCTGCTAAGCTGTGCTACAAACCCTGAGTTTGAGGCTCCTTTTGAAAACCATCTGCCTATATCTTGTCCTGATAAGCCTGCTGGATAGGATTGCCACATCTCTCATCTTCTCTGCCTGTCCACAGACCTCACTCCCCCGGGCACTTTGGCATCCCCTGCAACATGTCATTGCTACAGTATCTTGTCTAAATATATAAGCATTTTAAAAAACATTTTCAGAATGTTAGGGTGCATTTATTTCATGCTGTTTTAAAATAAATACATACTTACGGGAATTTATAGATACATCTGTATAAATGTCATGATATAAGCATATTGCAGCGTTGCTTAGCTAAAGGTTGAAGGCTGACACATAGATGTCCATATACGGGAGTCTGGTTGAATATATTATTATTCTTCCATTAACGTTAACTGCTTTTGTTGCAAGGTTACTATAACATACACTTTAGTGAGTACTTATTATTTACTGAGGCCAGTACTAATTATGGGAAGCACAAATGTATACCCATGACAAAGCTGCAGATAATACCAGAGCCTGTGTAAAATCTTAGTATGGGAAACACAAGTACTAATTTTGAGAAACACAGATGTATAACCCTGACGTAGCTACTTGTAATACAGTGTCCTGTCCATATCTATTCTATATAATAAAAGGCCAGGGACCATAAGCGAAATGACCGGAATGACTGCTTGACCAGTCACTATGAGGTGCATTGACCACCTCTTGGTCCCTCCCACCCCTGGCCTTCGAGCAGCGGCTGGAAGCAGTGGGTGGGGCAGCTGGCTTCGGCAAGTGGGAGCGAGCTACACATGCATGATTTCGTGCGCTGGGCCTCTAGTATATATATATGTGTGTGTGTGTGTGTGTGTGTGTGTGTGTGTGTGTGTGTGTGTGTAGGCCTAATATGCAAAGTGTTCCCTCGGGAGTTCGATTGCTTGCTATGACATGCGCTGTCCACCAGGGGGCAGCGTGGAACGAAGGGAGGCCACTGCTGGTGACCAGCAGCCGCTAGGGACCATACCCGTGCACAGATTTCGTGTACTGGGCCTCTAGTTGTAGAATATATAGCAGCCACAAACAAAAATGAGGAATTTCTTTACATGCTGATGTGAGATCTCCCAGGTATAGTATTCAGTGAAAAAAGGGAGATGCAGGACATGTGGATTTTATGCTTCCATTTGTATTTTTTTAAAAGGAAAAATTGTATGTATTTGCAGGCCAGGATAGAATATCTTTGGAGGTGTAAACAAGAAACTACATCACATGCCTTTGGGAAGAGGAACTGGGTTGCTAGGGGACAGGAATAGGAAAGAGACTTCACTATATAACTTGCTGTACTTTAAAAATTTCATATCACGTGAAGGAATTGCCTACTCAAAAATATTTTTATGGTAATTAAAATGAAGTACTATGGCTGAATGGAATGAAAAACAGTTTATTACAAATTCATATTCTCACCTGTTTTTAATAAAGCTAACTCATAGTTACTATTCTTCCTTACGTTGTTTCACTTTGAGCCAGAGTTCTTTCTTGGCAGAAGTTGTCAAAGACAAGGATTACACTGTGCACACACATGTATGAGCGTTCACACACACACACACACGGTCTCTCTGTCTCTCTGTACCTAGAGAATCAGTGTTTTAGCTTTCTGTTCCCATTCAGTTTACAGCCAGACCTCAGTCATGTTTTGTTTTAGTGGCTGTGAGGATGTGATGTAGGGTTGGACCATTTACAGGACACTGTCGGTAGCACCAGGCTGCCCTCTATATTGTGTGCAAAGAAGGTAAAATGAAGCTTCTGAGTTTCCAGAACTGCACACCCCATGGAAGTTTGAATTTATCCTCAGACTCAGACAAACGTTTGTAACGCCATCCCGCCACCCAGCGTCTTTCTTTTGTGGGTCGAGGAAAGAAATCATGCAACTGTTCACTCAGAAGACTCTGGCTTCTCTCCCCCTCAGGGCAGGGTGCCCTTTGCCGTGCCTGACAAAGTGCTGTGGCCGCAGCTGTGTGAAGCGCTCAACATGAAATTCAAGGCCGAAGTGCAGAGCAACCGGGGCCTGACCAAGGAGAACCTCGTGTTCCTGGCGCAGAAGCTGTTCAACAGCAGCAGCAGCCACCTCGAGGACTACAACAGCATGTCCGTGTCCTGGTCCCAGTTCAACAGGGTGAGGACCCCCCCCCCCCCCCCCCCCGCTGGCTGGCTGCCGGGAGGGAGATCAATCCCTTCCAACCAGACGCCTGCAGGAACTTCCCTTCCCCGGCCCTCGGGCTTCCTGTCTCTAATAAAATGCGCCTGAAGCAACAGGAAGCTCCTGAATAGACAACGACATATTTTTTTATGTAGAAAATCACATCTTTGCATATTTAAGTAAATTGGGCTTTGTGTGTAGCTGGTGCATTTTATAAAGGAAGCAGAGCCGGGCGAAGTACAGCTTTGGCGATGATCAGAACGTCATGGCTCAGTCCCGTTGACTCCGATGTCCCCTGATGTGTGATGCGAAGTCAGGCTCCCGCGGACCCTCAGCCCACCCAAGCGGATGCTGATGGAGGGCCCTCTTCCTCTAGCATCTGCTCGTTCAGATGTCCCCTGTCACATCTTTGATTTGAAATCTAACATTTTTCTTTTTACACCATCACCCTCGCCGCCACCCCGGGGTTTTCAGTACCCTCATTCAGAGATCTCATCGTCTCTGAGTCTAAATCTTTTAAGTGGTTGTGTGTTAACCAGTTGGCCAACGTGTTGGCTGGCAGTCAGAGGTGTTTTGATAGGGGAAGCAGGACTTTCACTAGAATCCGATAACTGCATTCTGCTGATCATTCTTGGCGACCGCTGTGTGCTGGAGCAATCTCTGTGGCCTTGTGATCTAATCCAGTTCAAATTTACAAGCCCCCTGGGCATCTGGCTAAGATGCCGACGCTGCTTCGGTGGGTCTGGGATGAGGCCTGAAAGTTTGCCTTTCTCTGGAGCTCTTGGGTGGTGGTGGTGGTGCTGCTGGTCCCAGAATCCACATCAAAACCAGCAAAGGACCGGTCAGCCCAGGGGGCAGGTGTTCGTAGCAGGGGGTGGGAGTCGCTCTGCGCTGTTTTTGCCCTGTTTCCTTCTTTTCTCCTCTATCTTGTTTTTTGTTGTTGTTGTTGTTGCAGGACCATTTATTTGGGAAAACTCAGGCAGGTCTTTATATTTGTATGATTCTGACAGTGTCGGTGTTTATTTTCCATTTGGTTTTTCCAGTTAAAGTAGATACGGGTACTGTTCCGAGTGTTACCTCTGCCTTCTTGTGTTCATTGTTGTGTCTCCAATCAGGAGAATTTACCAGGACGGAACTACACTTTCTGGCAGTGGTTTGATGGGGTGATGGAAGTGTTAAAGAAACATCTCAAGCCTCATTGGAATGACGGGTGAGAATCCTCATTTCTTACGTCTGCCGTAAAGTAAGAAGGTTGTCTTTCTACGGTTTTAAAAAAAAAAAATCACTCTCTGCTTCTGCTCCTTTGACCTTTGTGATCCAGGGCTATTTTGGGTTTCGTGAATAAGCAACAGGCCCACGATCTACTCATTAACAAGCCCGATGGGACCTTCCTGCTGAGATTCAGCGACTCTGAAATCGGCGGGATCACCATCGCTTGGAAGTTTGATTCTCGTGAGTGCCCCTCCCCTTTAACGAGGAGAGGCCAGAGGGCCCCGGTTAACTGCTTTTGTTGCAAGATCGCTTTCACATACACTTCAGTGCGTCCGTATTATTGTCTGAGGCCAGTGCTGATTATGGGAAGCACAGATGTAGACCCAGGACAGAGCTGCCGATGATACCAGAGCCTGTGTAAGATCTTGTTATGGGAAACACAAGTCCTAATTTTGAGAAACACAGATGCGTAACCCTGATGCAGCTACTTGCCATACAGTGTCCTGTCCACGTTCTCAGCTGCTTCCCTTCTGAAATGTCCCCCTTCTCATTACTCAACCTTGAGCTGGTTTCAGTGAAAATGTACTTTAATAAGTTGGAGTCGTTCACATAGAAGTAATGTTATTTTAATTATTCCTTCATCCTAACTGACACAAGGACCTTGTCACGGGTCATTTTCATTCAAGAATGTTAGTTCTTTCCTCTGACCCTCACAAACTAAGTAACAGCAGCTTTCGAGTGTGCTTTGTGGCTTAAAGACGTGAACAGCGTCTGATAGTGCTCACGTGTCCTCTGGCTGGGGACCTGCTTCCTATCTCCCTTACACACTTCTGTGCAGGGAATCAGGGAGTCAGTACGTTTCTTCTAGAAAGGGACAGAACGTCGTTTAACTGAAGCCACCTGAGGGAGATCACGGCATCTCTAGGAAAGTGATGAATGTGATGAATGCATCACCAACTATCTACCCATGGCTTTTAAAAACAGCTACTCCAGCCCTGGCTCAGTTTGTCGAGTGTCATCCTTGGGTCTGGGAGGCAACTGATCAGATGTTTCTCTCTCACATTGATGTTTCTCTCTCCCTCCCTCCTTCTCCCCCTCCCTTTCCCTCTGTCTCTCCCTCGCCCTCTCTCTCTCCCTTTCCCTTCCTCTGTCTCTTAAAATTTTTTTTAAATCAATTAAACATTTAAAAATTAATTAATTATTTCTTAAAAACAGCTATTTGATCTATAACCTGTAGTTATTTTTAAATGGAGAGGGTTTTTTGGGGGGGGTACAATTTAATGGAGAGCTTTAATTTGTAGAATATTTGGGTATTAAGATTTCTTGTTCAGAAACTATGTTTAGAACATTGTTATTCTGTTTATTGATCTAGAGGAAAGAATGTTTTGGAATCTGATGCCTTTTACCACCAGAGACTTCTCCATTCGGTCCCTGGCCGACCGCCTGGGGGACCTGGATTACCTTATCTACGTGTTCCCCGATCGGCCGAAAGATGAAGTATACTCCAAATATTACACACCAGTTCCATGCGAGCCTGCCACTGGTAACAATGTTCGCATTCTGATTTGGTTTTGTTGTGTTTTGGTTGTATTTTAGTTATTTGTGTGTGTGTGTGTGTGTCTGTCTGTCTGTCTTGCATGAAAACCTACACAGTTAGCCTACAGTCACTTGAGCATTATCCAGGGCAGGTGTAAATCCTGGGCTGTATTCTGCAGTCATACAGAAAACACACCTGCCACTAACCCCAAATACCAAATTGAAGGGAACAAACTGCTTTTAACACAAGCTGAAGTCAAAATTAGGAAGGTAAAATTTTGTTTTTCAAATCAGAAATGGTTTTGTTTTCTGAGCATAAAAGTTTTATGTATTTATTGTAAAATGTCCAGAAAAGAATAAAAAAAGAAAAAAGAATCCATTCATCTTCCTGCCAGTCATAGAATCTGTTCATCGGTTTCAGGTTTGGCTCTGATTGGCATAAAAATGATATCTCAGGTTTTATTTTCATTTATTTGATTCCAGGTAAGGTCAAACACCTTTTCATGTCATGATAATGACAATAATAATAAACACAACACTAGTAACAGTTAGCATTTGTTGCACGCTCACTGAGTACCAGGTCCCTTTTTGGGCACATTTTTATGTAGTATCTCATTTAATCCTCAAAAGGGGCCTGTGAAGTAGTTACTATTACTGTCCCCCTTTTACCCATGAGGAACTGAGGCACCGAGAAGTAAATAATTTGCCGAAGGCCACAGAGCTAGGAAGAGGCCAAGCCAGGACTTGAGCTCAGAGTCTAGCCTCAGAGCCTGTATTTCTTACCGTCTACATTATTGGCCATTAGTGTTTTTTCCCGTGAGGTGCGTTCATGTTCCTTGCTTATCTTTCTTTTGCAGTCCCTGTTTCTCTTAAAGATGTGTAAATAGTTTTCTGTAGTAAATAAACCCTTGGTTATACATAGCAATTATTTTCCTCAGCGTGTCATTGTTCTTTTAACATTTAAGTTTTATTTTGCTGACGTTTTATTTTACAGAGATTTGTACTTAGGCTACAGAGCCCAACCAGTCGACCTTTTTCCTCCATGCCATGCCTTCCCACCCTAATGGGATGGCTGTATTTTTAAAAAACCAGGACATTTTAGGTTTATATGATATTTTGAATTAAAATCTATCTCACTGCTTCTTTTTGTTAGCACAGCCAATCTAGATGATTACATTCTATTTTTTACAGCATTTCTTTGTTGTTGTTTTTTTAATCTTTCCTGCCGATCTATAAAACTCTCCGTAGACTGTAAAGCACAAAAAGCATGAGATATTATGACAAGGCGGCCCCCTGACAAGCAGGTTCGGGTACCAAGCAGTTTGTGAACCATGTAGCATTTCACTGCGTGTTGCCTTCAGTGTCTAATATCGTCAGGATTACGCTTATTCCCACACTTACATTCCCAGGAAACAGGACTTGATTCGCCGACTCCAGACTCTCACACTCCTACTTCACTGGGTTTTCATAATCAGCCTTTTAAAAAGTCATAACGATGGCTGGCCAGGTCACTTTCAGGTTTCTCCCCTAGCCGGCCACATCCCAGTGGGATTCTGTGGTGAGTGGAAGAGACACACACCAGCATCCTTTTCAGCAGCCACCAGGCATAAACTACACTCACCAGAATGAGTGGCCATCAGGCTATCCCCCGGGGCATGGAGGAGCTGGCAGATACCTGAGTGACGCTCCCTTTCCCACAGAGTAGATACTCAGAGTAAGTTCTGAGATCCTCAGGTCAAATCAGCGCCTCTCTAAGGCGTAGAGTGTTCTGTGGGGTCCCTGCCGATTGCATGCCTCCCTAGTGAGAACCCCCAGTGATAAGGAAACCAGTTCTTCCCGCGACACTCCCATTCCTTTTGGGGGCAGTTCTATGTATGACATTCTTCCATATCTGACCTCCTCCTGTTGGTCCTAAAGTTGTCCCCGGGGACACAGAGCAAGGCCTGTCCCTCCGCCACGTCTGCGACTATAAACTCGGTAAAGATATTTTTGCCTTTCACAGTTAGTATGCAGTTAATGCTGGTTTTCGATTTGTATTGAAGTACTTGCTTTCTGTGGTCTGAAGAATGGATAAGCAATGCAAGCCAACTTGGAATATCTCTTCACTGGCAGTGTTAGGATTGAGGCTTCCCTCTGCCAGGCCGTCCTACCAGGTTGAAGTGTTAGGTGCTGGTGTCAGATCCTAAGATAAAATCAGGTGTTTGTGTCCTATCCTAAGAAAAGATGTGATTCATAAGGGAGATTTCACTTTTATTTCGTTGGAGAACTTTGGTTCTCATCACCGTTCCCCCCTCGGCAGCTAAAGCCGTGGACGGATACGTGAAGCCACAGATCAAGCAAGTGGTCCCTGAGTAAGTGTCTGGGGCCCAGCTCTGGTCTCCTGCTGCCTCTGTTCCCCTGCCCCTGCCCCCCCACCCCTGCTGTTCTCACCCCTCACCACCACCCCCCTCCCGTCCAAGGGCCCAGCATTCCATTCTCCCTAAAACCTGGCTCAGCCCTGGGGAGGGAACCGGGCTTGGTCACCATGGGCCAGTGCCCAGGGCCCCCTCCTGCACTTCGTCCTTCTGCACCTGAGAGAGACAGAAAGATGCCCCTGAGCCCCTCCCCTGTCAGCGCTGCCCTGAGGCCGCTGAGGCCCTGCTCTGCTTCCTCCTCCAGGTTTGTGACGTCTGCAGACTCTGCTGGGGGCAGTGCCACCTACATGGACCAGGCCCCCTCCCCGGCTGTGTGTCCCCAGGCTCATTACAACATGTACCCACAGAAGTAGGTTGTGTTCTTACAGGGCTTCACGGGGGGCTGGGCCTGGGCCTGGGCACTTGGCCTTGGGCTGCTGGCCGGGCAGGGTGCAGGGCCTGGGATGGTCTCTGCTCCTCGTCATTGGTCTCTGACAAGCGCCCCCTCCCCCTTCATCTCTTCTCTTTCCCTCCCAAGCCCTGACCCCGCCCTTGACCCCGACGGGGACTTCGATCTGGACGACACGATGGACGTGGCGCGCCGCGTGGAGGAACTCTTGGGCCGACCTATGGACACTCAGTGGATCCCTCATGCGCAGTCGTGACCTCCGTCAGCTTCTTGGTCCTCGCGAGAGGAGTTCCTCTTGTGGATGTTTTAATTCCATGAATCGCTTCTCTTTGGAAACAATACTCATAATGTGAAGTGTTAATGCTAGTTGTGACTTTAGTGTTTCTGTGCATGGTGACCCCAGTGCAGGGAGCGTGTGTGTGTGTGTGTGTGTGTGTGTGTGTGTGTGAGTGTGAGTTTGTCCGTGTGGTGTTCCTCCCCCTTGCTGTCCAGACAGAGGCCGTGGTGGTTTGAACCTTGTGCACAAAGGCAGTTGGCTCCACGAGCCCTGGCACATGGCCGTGTGTCTTGAGGGTGGCTGGACTTTGACGTGTGGCTGTTCAAGTAAGAGAAGGACGCAGGGAGGAGAAAGCACCTCCTCTCTGGTGAGTCTGTCACTGTGTTTGCCAGGCAATTGTGCTATAACCATGATTGTCTCTGCTTTTCTTCTGCAATGTGGAAACCGCCTCCTGACAAAGAATGCCAGTCCTCCTCCCCCCGCCCCCCACCCCATTTTCCCGGGTAGGGATGGGGAAAGGGGCAACTTAGGAGGATTGTGGGGGCAAGGGGAGCCAGGGGTCTTCGGATGGGTCGTGGCTTTTATAAATAACACGTAACCCGTCTTCGTGTTTTCTCCGTCCCTCCTGCCCTGCCTGGCTGTGTCCCTCTCTCCTCCTCTCACTCAGTCCCTCTGTGTGCACACACGTGCAGATGAACTAGAGGGCAGAAGAGAGGGTCACGCCACCGGAGCTTACAGTGTCGGTGTCCTTTGTGTCGCGGCCAGAGTGGAATGCCCAGCCCTGACCCGCAGGCGCCGAGAACGTCGCCTCGTCGCCCAGGGAAGCTGCCGTCCCATCTGCCCGTGCTTCCTCCGCGCTGGGAGGCCGACCGATGCCAGCTCTTCGCAAATGTCGGACGGTGTTTTTGCTTCTAACTTGGGACTTCTTGTTTTCCCCTCCCCACCCTCATCTGACAGCGAAGTTCTCTCTTCCTGTGTCAGGTCCTGTGCCATTCCTACCCAGGTCACCTCATTTCCCTTCACTGATCGTGCGCGATGTCTCGGGGAGCGGGTGGCAGGAGTGCGGTCCGAACCCGGGGCCAGCATGTCCAGCAGGTGTTGCCCACCTGGTGCAGGGTGCTGGGTGTCAGGCTTTGGGGGTTTGGGGAAATGCAGTCAGCAGGTTTGCGGGAAGTTTGGTAAGCTGCAGAAACAAAAAGCCTCAAGCATAATTCCGTCTGTAGTTTCTTCCATGGCTCCACGCCAGAGGAAGGGATGGGCTGTGGCAGGCAGGTGGGAAGAGAGGGGAGCAGGTATAGTTTTCAGGTTAGGCCTATAAGGTCGCCCCCAGCCCCCTCTCCGAAAGGATATGACTAGGCCCAAGAAATAATGGCCCTAAAAACCGTATTTTTATATGTGTGAGTAAATAAACATATTTTTTTTACAAAAACTAACTTCTGAACTTATCAGTGTTTTGATGTTAAAGGAACATATTTCTCTGTAGTAAATTATTTATTGGAAAATGACTTTTTCAAAGCTGCTGTTTGCGCTGGCTTGGTTTCATACACTGATTTATTTTTCTATGCCAGGCAGTAGACTCTCTCTGCCTCTGAGGCGCAGGCCGACCCCTCCATGGATACCAGCGTTGATGTAGGATGCTGCTAAGCCCCTTGCATACCCCTCAGGGTTCAATTAAAATTCCCCCGGTGAGGACGGGAGTGTTGGGGAAAGGTGTAGGGAAGCCTGACCGGGTCTCGAAGAGCCCTCACCTGCCTGTCACTCCGGCTTCACCAACACCTGCCTCAAGAGCGATGCCCTCATTGTCCCAGCGGGGGGACGAGGGCGGGGGAGGGGGGTTGGGGGGGTATCGACCCACTGGGCAGTGGGCCCAGCCCTGGGGCATGCTGAGGTCTAGCTCTCACCTCACAGCTGGCAGTAGGGCTGAGGGGACGGGTGCCAAGTGTGGGGCTCCTTCCCGTGCTTGTACAGTCGCTGAGCTGTCCTCAGTTTTCCTGAGAACTGTGCCTGTCGATGGGAGAGATTTTCGACTGAAAGGTGCGCTTGCTATCTGCACTGTACTTTCTCTCTTCTCCCCGTTCCTGCAAACCGGAGGAGGCCGCGGAAGCCTGGACCGCCGCCGCCGCCTCCGCCTCTCGCTCGCTCCCAGGCGCACACCGAGTCATCAGCGTCCCAGCTCCACGTGTGTGGCCTGCAGGGTTTTGTGGGGGTGGCGGGGAGACAGAGTGAATATAACTTAAAGTGGAAGTATACTTTTTATAACTTTTCTTTTTAAAACTTTGTGAAATTCTTTCAGATACATATTTTAGTGTTGAGGCCGAATAGCATTAGCCAGCAAAAAAAAAAGTATTGTGTACAATTCTACTTGGGCCAATCACAAAATAATGTATTTTATGTTACAATAAAGCCTTCCTCTGAAGGGGCAATATTGAGTCCTGTTTTATTTTTCCAATCAGATGGCGAGGGAGGGGGGACAGGAAGGGGAACGTTGGCGATCATCAGTGTAGCTCTGCAAGGAGAACTGTTTGGGAGTTGGCTCCTCTGAGAGCGGTCACCGGGTTTGATGGCGGATGGGGCATTTATTTTTATTTCATTTTTTTTTCTTTAATCACCTGAGGGTTATTTTTCCATTGATTTTAGAGAGAGTAGAAGAGAGAGGGAAAGACAGAAACATTGATGTGAGAGAAACACATCGATTAGTTGCCGCCTGCACACACTCTGACCAGGGCCCCAGGCTGGGGAGGAGCCTGCAACAGAGGTACCTGCCCTTGACCGGAATCGAACCTGGGACCCTTCGGTCTGCAGGCTGACGCTCTATCCACGGAGCCAAACTGGCCAGAGCAGATGGGGGCATTTCTTACCTCCCTGCTCACATGATGTTTTGACACTTACACCTGTGTCCCCTGAAAGGACTGTTCTTGCACAGAGAAGGAGGCCCCTGTCGTAGTTTAGTGCTTTGGGATATTCAGCTCTTAACAAGCAGGTGCCACTTGGCTAAGCCACCAGTGTTCCCGAAGGCTGTGTTTCAAGCTCTCTTCCCTTCTGTGGGGTGGAGATCCATCATCCGGATGCGGCCCAAGACGGCTGCTGTGTGTAAGTTCTCTTAATAAACTCCTCGTTTCGTTCTTTGTCATCCTCTCCTTTCAGTCTCAGCCCTGTCCTCCTTGGGAAGTCAGTTGCGGTACACCCCAGGGAATTTTCCAACACAAAGGACACTCTCAAGAAAATAAAAAGACAACCCACAGGAGAAAATAAAAGACATTTCTGCAAAGAAGATATACACATGGCCACTATGCTCAACATCATTAGTCATCAGGAAAATTAAAATAGACTCAAGTCACTCCATACCCCACTAGAATGGCTAGATCAAAAGGCCAGGTAATAAATTAGCAAAGATGTAGAGAAATCGGAAAACTCACGTACTGCTGGTGGGGATGTAAACGGATGCAGGCACTTTGGAAGCCAGTTGAGCCATTCCTTAAACAGGTAAAAAAGAGGTACTATACAACCCAGCTATTCTTGACACAAGGAAAATTACATGTCCACAGAAAAACGTATATAAATGTTCATTCTCCATAATAGTCAAAGAGCGGAAATGAACCAAATGTCTATCAATTGATGAATGAGTAAACCAATGTGATGGTGTTTACACAGCACATTTGGGTGGTGGTACCTCCAATGGAATATGATTTGGCAATAAAAAGAACTAGTGGTGCACAGTAACCCAGAGAAGAACCTTGTAAACATTATGCTAAGTGAAGGAAGCCAGATGCAAAAGACCATGTGTTGATTCCATTTATGTGAACTGTCCAGAATAGGCGAATCTATACAGAAAGTAGGTTTGTGTTTGCTTAGGGCTGTGGGGGAGGAAGCTGGGAAGGGATCGAGGGGTATAGCTAAAGGGTACAGGGTTACTCTTGAGGTTACGAAAATAGTATAAAATTGACTATTGGTGTCACACGTATATGTGAATATACTGAAAACCATTGAATTGTACACGTTAAATGGGTGATTTGTGTGAATTATATATAATAACGCAGTTGTGTCTTAAAAAGCAAGCACAATATCTCAGCAAGAAATAAAGGAGTGAAAGCGGGGGGCGGGGTGGGGGGGTAGACTGACTGAGAGCAGACCTGTGCAAAGGAGCTCAGCTGTGAAACGCAGGGAGAGATGCTGCGAGACATAGAGCCAGCGAGGGGCCGAGGGAGGGGTGTTCGTGTCTAAGAGCCTGGGTCCAGAGCGCAGGCGGAGGGAGAGAGGGATGGACCGTGGGCCGCAGAGGAGCCTCACACAACTTCCAACCTCCACAGCAGGAGAGTCCGAGCCTGAGGTCGCTGGGTGCCTCGCTCCAAGTTGCAAAATGACCCTGTGTCATATGGAAGTTTGTGTTTCCTCGGGATAAAGCCAGTAAGCTAACACAGGTCGTGACCCCAAATCGGATGAAGTACGCGTGACAAGTGGCGCCGGCAGCTTCTCTGGCTTGAGGACTAGTTACCACTTACCTTGAGAACGCCGTGTGATGGGCTCTCTGCTTGGCTGTAAACGGGGGTGCGATGCTCTTCTGTCTTTGCAATCTCTTAGCCGGTGGCCTGGGATGCGCGTCGCCTTCTAACTTAATGTTTCTCCAATAACAAAAGTGTCTTTCTTTCTCTACTGTCTTGGTGGGGAGGCTTTCTGGGTTGGGAGAAAACGTTGGTTTTTACCGGTTGTCGAGCTTGAATCTGCCCCACCCCCAGCCGACGCTGCTTCCTGGCGCTCTTTCCCACACAGTCAACCTTCTCTTCCTTCACCTGCACAAATTTGAGGACCATCCTGTTCTAGCCCTCGCTTCCCATGTCTGCCAGCCTGGGCCAGCACCCAGCATGCCCCCCTTAGGCAACCTGCTCCTTTAAGAGCACCCCCCGCCCCATCCCAGCTCCTCCCTCAGGCCCAGTAACCGGATTTCCCTGTTTGTGAGGCCCAGCGCTTTAAAGCCAGGGCCCCTTCTTACTCAGCTGTATGCTGAGCCGGGGGGTGCCGAGGGGGCGAGGATGCTGGGAGTAGGCACAGGTGGGCTGTGACAGGTACATGTGGGACACGAACCACTGCCCAGGGCTCGGGAGGGACACGGAGCTGGGACAGGGTGGGTCCTGGGAGGAAGCAGAGCCGCTCGGCAAGACCTGTCATTCGTCAAGCAGCCGCTGGGCGCTGGGCACCGTGCCAAGCCCTTTCTGCACCTTCTGAGGCGGGGATTATGCTCCCATTTGACAGACAGGGGGACAGAGCTCAGAGCAGCCGCCTGAACTACCTGGGGCCACACAGGTAGCCAGTGGCAGAGCCAGGACCCGACCTCAGGTCAGTGCGACGCTGAAGCCTGGTGCTCTCCGCCTCACTGCCCGACGGGGGTCCTGGCTTCTCCCTACACTTGCTCTGTCCTGGGTTCTCCTGCGTGAGGTAGAACGGGGGTACGGAACGGGTGATCCCCTGCAGCTGCAGGACCAGCACTCGGGCCCTTCCTCCTCCAGGAGCTGCCTGGAGATGCTGCTGCTCCTGCTGCTGCTGTTCCCGTTGCTGCTGCTGCTGCCACTGGCCGTGCTCTGGCGGCAGCAGGCCCAGGGTCCCGGGCCGTCCTGGCTGGCCAGCCTGCAGCACCGCGTGGCATGCGGGGCCCTGTGCTGGGCAGCCGCCTGGCAGCAGTGGAGGCTGGAGCAGAGCACCCTGCACGCGGGCCAGCGCCAGCAGCAGGCCCTGAGGTGGTGTCTGAAGGGAGCCCAGGGTCCCCACTCTCCTCTCCGGGGGAGCACAGGTGTGTTTTCCAGGGTCTGGGGAGGTGGCCCCAAGAGAAAGGAACCCCACAGGACAGTCAGATTCCAGAACCTGAAGACCTCCCGCCCGCCTCCCGCTCCCAAAACGGAGAGGCTGAGCCAGAGACCCTCCCCAGGCTCAGCACTGTCCAAGAGGACTTTTCCCACCCGGATAGCCCCGCCCCCATCCAGGCCTGGCCCAAGTCCCTTCTTCAAGGGTCTCGCCAGCCTTGTCTGAAACTCCTGGGAAACTGTGTGGCTTCAAGAGGAGTTTATGATGTCTTTGGGGCTACAGATATGACCACCTTCCGGAATCATCTCCCTTTGACCAAGGCCAGCCAGGCCCCGGAAGAAGAAAGTGGGGAGCAGCTCCTGCCCCCTACCTCAAAACAGCAGCACGGGGAGGCCTCTCTGCAGGTAAACCCAGAAGAGCCCAGCCCCACCGTAGACCCCAGCTTGTAGCCACACCCTCCCACCAGGGTGGGCAAAGAACCCCCAAACTGGGGGCTCAGGGTCGGGCTCAGGCAACACCCTCTCTTGTTTCCCTCCAGGCCACCTTGCTGGGTCTGGCAGCCCTAAACCAGGCCTACCCAGCAGCGCTGGCCCCCGGGAGCACAGCCTGTGTGACCCCTGCATCCCCCTGGCCCCACCCT